AGAATAAAGATCAAGTAGACGTAGGTATTACCTTTCATATCGAATTCGACGAGAGTGGTGAAAGCAGCAGCAGCAGCAGCACGGGGTGTTCATTGTTACGTTGGATAAGCGAACACATTTTGATACCGTTACTTAAATGATGGAAAAGAAACTGATCGTGAACCCACAGGAATTTCAGGCGCTCGTGGATTTTTATAAGGGAAAAATATCAGAAAGTACCCTTTTAGATAAAGCCGCACGAGTCGCAGCAGAAACGCAGATGTTACCGAACGATCCGCACACGCAGGCAGGACTCAAAGAGCCCATGATAAAACAATTATTAATGAAAGAAAGGCGATTAACCGATCAGTTGAGAAATTACCCGAAGGCGTAGGACCTGAGACGAGTGACGGAGATCAGGGGAATCTATTAGATTCCGTGCTAGAGAATCTAATTGAAGACTTGATTCGATCTATCAAAACCAAAGAACCTACAGTAGTAGTAAAACAAGAATTGGCCGCACCTTCGACTTCCAAGAAAAAAAAGAAAGTAAAAAAACAGGTCATCACTCCCAAGAAATTATTTTCTACACCGGAGAGCAGTGGTACAAAAAAACCCATCAAATTTCCTTTTTGGTTTATGAGTTTTAAAGACTTACCTTCTACACCCATACCTACAGGGAAACGATTGTTACCTTCGACTCCTCTGAGTGCATATAAGTCAGCGGAGCATAGCGCTCATAAATCCTTACAAAAAAAGAGTAGGATCGAACAGGTCTGGCACCCGTGGGATAAGAGAGGTTGGGATCCAGTAAAAGCCGTACAACATGACGAATTCAAAGCGGTCACGCCGAGAGACAAGGGCAAAGGCAAAGGGAAGGGGAGGGGCAAAGGGAAGAAGTAGACGGCAGACGGGGGGCAAAGTTGATCTTCAAAAATGGATTAATAAACTGGGCGTGGAATTTCATCGGCCCGGGTGTCAGTACATGGGGCCCGGTACCAAATTGGCCATGCGTCTCAAACGCGGGGATCTGGTAATTAATCGTCTCGATAAGTTAGCCAAACAGCAAGATATCGATTGTAGTAAAGCTAAAAGTCTAGCTGATAAGCACATTGCCGATCATAAAATAATTACCGGTATTCAAAGATTCGGAGAAAACATTATGACCGAGCGCATACCACGAATTCCTGGAAAATCGTCTTTCATCTATAATTGTATTAGATAAAGACTGGGAAGTTGGGTTGTCCAGCATTTCGTTACCTCACGAATCTCGATTGAAAAAAAAACCTTAAAGGTCTCCCTGATGCCCCTAGACTACTCACCACTAAACGACGCGTGTACGTGGTGGTCACGCAACAACTTGATGTCACAACCGCGTACGTGCATTACAGTGATATCAAAGACAAGCCCCTCGAAACGCCACACGATCTTCTCAAAGCCTTATTCGAAGTGGAGCGTGAAAAGTATTTTTTAAACTTGGGTGAATCTGGGGTATGGGCTAACGAAATGCCCACGGGAAAATTTCCCACCTTACAATTTGATGTCTCTTTTGACGACGCTCTAGAAACCTGTAGGGTATCAGCAGAGAAGATAAATCCGGATACTCTTTCTAACAACGATCTCCGCAATAACGTGTATTTTGAGCTTCGTAAAGATTTGTTCTTTTCATTGGGATGGAATCAAGATAAAACGAGATTTAATGTCAACATGTTTAAAAATGCAGCGAATCAAGCGTTTAGAAAACGCGGTAACGTATGGTTTGAATCCAGATCCGATTCAAGTGTATTGAAAAGATATTGGTGTATGGTAGAAAATGGGGAGATGCTCAAATTTTATTTTCACGAACTCATGTGGACATTTATAAACACGAAACGGTCTGCTTATAAACAAGGGACAATGGCATCCACGACCTTTTATGTGTATTCCTCTATTGGGGATCCAGTCATTATAGGATCACTAAAACCGATTTATTGCTACAAGTCCCGTGTCAACCTCAATTAAATGGAAGAATTTTTTACGCACCACCTAAGATTCATTACGTTCTATTACGTAATTACACGATTAAAGTGACTGAAATTCAAATAAGTGAAACGGATACAAACTCACTCACACAGTTCGACGATGGTGCCTCTATTGTCTCGCTTCATTTTAGAAAGAAAAAACATAAAGCACCCGCGTACCTCTGAGAAACGATTCATTTTGAAAGAGATACGAGATAAGTAACTTTTACTTGACGTCACCGAGTAACGATGGGAGTGTCAAATATTTTTCCGGAAACACCAACAATTCTTGGAAAAATCGACTCAACAGACGCTTGGATTTGGAGGGGGACTGGGACGTGGGATTGTCGAGCATTTCCTTACCGCACGAATCGCTCTTGATACCCTATCTCAAAAGATTATCCAATGGGTCAGCCATGCTCAAAACGTGGGGAGTCGTTTTTCGCAAGAGAGGGAATTCTGGTGCCCTAACGGAATTATCGACCACGGTGGACTACGGTGATGTAAAACATCGCCGCATGGAGACGGTGTATGATCTACTCCAAGCCTTATTTGAAGCAGAATACGTAAAATTTCTGAATCAGCTTCAAAATTACGATTCGTTATACGAAGGAGAACATCCGTTACAGTTTGATGTGATGTACGATGAAGCAAACGAGAGTATTACTATAAGTGCTGAAAAAGTCGCAGAAAGCGAATTTAGATCTTTCCGTGTCTTTAGAGAAAATGCGAACTTTCATTTACGGAAAGATCTGTGTCTTCTTTTTGACTGGATAAAGGACATCACCTACAAAGTAAAGGGTATCTATATAAACGGACCCAATCTACTGCTGGGAAAACGAGGGACAAAATTTACCGAAACCAGAAATCCGAGCGATTCTAGCTATAATGTGTACAGATACGGAATAGGATGCAGTAACATGAAAGGTTCTGATGACGGGATGGTAGACAGTGAACTATTTTATCTCCACGAATTTACTCACACGTTCATCAATCTGAAAAAAAGTACGTATCACAATGGCATGGCCCCTCGCACGCTTTATCTCTACTCCTCCTTATGTGCTCCGGTGATCATGGGTAATAAGACCACCGATGCGCACGTTTCAGTATCGTCCTCTATTGAAAGGGAGTTATTACTACGAACCGAAACACGTTCATTACACTGCCTTGCGCAATCAACACATCGACGAGGTGGAAACGCAACTCAGCGAATCGGAAAACAAAAATCTGGCGCAATTTACTAAGGACGGAGCTAGCATCGTCACGTTACATTTTAGAAAGGTTAAATAATTCAACACGAGATTAGTTTATGCAGTTACATCATGGTGGGGGTGACGAGAGGTATCTCGAGAGGAACAGGAGGTGTCACACGGCAGCAACCCCGCAAGTCCAAGAAACGAAGAAAACCCCCTCTATTTAGTAAAAGACGAAAAAAGGCAACACAAGTGGGACGAGGGTTCTTGGATTCCTTCAAACGCATGTAACCTTTCCTTGTTTTGGGCGGTAAAACGGCTTTCGCAAGTCTTAGATCATCTAGTAAACCCATAGGTGACCGAGTCTGGCGCCCCAAGTTACCACGAAAAAGATAGTATTTTCATGATAGCACATGGATGGTGTTAAAGACGTAACATGCAATAAAAGAAGACATAGCAATTCGCAACGTAATCAAGATGTCTATGGGGATTTGAAAGATTAAATCACTGTGGATGCCTTTTTAACAATTTTACTACAAATAAAAAATGTTCAATGCACTAAAAGGTTGGCTAGTTCTATATCGTCCAATTCTAATCTTTTATACCCGTACGGAAAGGGTTGTAAAGGTACCACTGTCCATGACTCGCTTATCAAACACGAGTCGATAGGCTTTCACTTATGTTTCGGTACGTATTTTTTTCTTGACGGGGTCTCTTACAAAATACAGGGGGTTGATAATATCCGTCTTTCTAGGTTCCTCTAAGGGGTGCCATACCGCGCACGTTTAATGAAAATCCTCTCACTTTCACGCAAGATTTCCCTTGAGCTGTGGCGTACCCATAGTTCTTGGCTCCCGCCGAAATGAATTCCACGATATGATCCCCTTCGTCTAACTCGTTCGTAATATTGCCCAAACAATCTCCCAAGGCAATGTGTCGTTCCCCTGGTTTTCACTTATACACTACCGAATCTGTGTCGTAATAAAAGACGCGCTCTTGTAAATTTTCTAGCGATTCGTACAGTTTTGGGCGTACCTGACACGTGATAAAGGCTGCGATAAAGACATTAGTGGCGCGCCGTTTGAGAGTGTCTTCATCTTCTCGTTTCGATACCACTTCTACCATTTCGGGGGATAAGATTCTAATCTCTTGTACCTTTTCCAGCGGGTCATCGATCAGGTTTGAAAGGGAGGCGGGTTGCGTGAATTGATGCGTTTTGGCTTTGTTACAATTCTGACCAAACCCAAACTTGCCTCAGAAGGAATTGAGCATGAGCATAGCCGTAGCTTTTCTCCCCGGGTTTTTAGCAATCATGGCAGCATCGATGCCTTCAAGCTCTTTGTACTGACAAATGTAGTCGGCTTTCTGCTCGTCCGTCTGATACCAGGCAGGATACCCGCTACTTTCCTGTTTGATTTGAAGCCAGGTGTCGACGTAAGGGGGCAAAGAGACCGCGCCGTCTTTTTTCGAAATGCCATACCTCGTGGATTTTGAGGAGTCTGTACACCATGGCAATGGCTTTGTGGATTTCGGGCGTACACCACGTGCCGCGTAACATGCGTTCTTCGTCTGTATGGCTACAAATGTAATTTCTTTCGTCTAGGGGCTTCGTAGATTCTTGCAGGACGCACGTACGGCAGAGGGGAAAGGTAAGTTTAGAGGTAGGCCCAATTTTCTGGCGATGGGGCAACACAGGGTTGAAGAGATGCGTAGGCGGTAGAATGTCGATTTTCCTCAACTCATAGTAAGCGCGAGAATCTTGATTTTCGGGTTCCAAGTAAATGATAGGATGGCCGACGGGATATTCGCCATATTTATTCACCCATGGTTATTCTGAGGTCACGTCGACGTATCGGATCTGTTCTCTTTGGGTGGGGTCTATGCGGTGGTAAAGCGTGGTCGTTTCAGTCCTTCCGCCAAAAAACGCCTCGCGAGGGTGAATGGGTGTGGTCAAGGAGAGAGACTGGACAAAGTCGCGGAGGTCTGGCTTGATTTTTTTGAGTTGTTCCCATTGACACTGCCACATGTCTACGACGGCGTACCCCAATTGACGCAATTTGGTGGTTTTCTGGGCCGTCTGACGCCGGCAAGCTTCTACGGTAAGTCCCGAGCTACAGAAGGGAATCTGACTTCTTTGCGGGTAACACTCTCGACACCAGTGGAAGAGACACCCATGAAATTCGTAAACCGTACGGGTTTGAGCATCGTAACCGTCTACACTATACACGGTAGGATCGTGAGGAATGCTGTATTCGCCATCGTTTCTCGCATGCTGAAGTCTTGTTCCCAAGTTTCGCTCGGTCCAGAGTAACCATTCTAAGGCCACGTGCGAATGATTGGGCGTGGCACCTTCCCTGCCGCATTCTGGTTCTATAGTAATAGACTCTGGTGTCATGACGCATTTTCGCCAATATCGGTTACAGGCTTGTGCGATGGTCACGCATTTTGCCATGGGATTAAATTTGGCGATGGATTGAAACTCTTCTATGAATTTTTGGCATCCGGCTTTCAACAGCTTCACATCGGAACAACAGTACGCTATCAATTCTTCTTTGAGGTGAAACGGTTGGTTCTTTCTCTGCTCTTGCGCGTACCACGTTTCAAATTCTTGTTTTTTATTTTGCGACAAACCCTCGGGATCGTAATATTCGGCTGCAGGGAGCGGTCCGACGTAATTCTGATGGTCTGGCATATGAAATTTATGGGGGAAGAATCCTTTCTTCAGTTCGGGGATCCTAAACGTACTCAAGAAGGCAGATAAGGCCATGGAGAGGAAACACATCCTGTCGTTATAAACGACAGGATGTCCACTTGCATGCATAAATGCTTGGTACCGTTAGGAATGATGAATTCGCTTTTCTTTCACCATTTCTTCTTGAAGAAAGACTGCTTCGTACCCTTTTAAATTATGAAAGATGCCAATGACTTCTCTAAAATCGTCCCAATGCCGGTTTTCTTCGGGGGGACCGTAAGCTAACTCGTCCATGAAGGCAAGAAAGTCTCGGGTACACTCGTTGCCATAAAATTCAAAGACTTGATCACTCTCCGAAGTTTCTGCCACGATGAGAATGGGGATGTGAGTCCCGTCTTCATCGAGCATGGCTTCAAAATCTGCCCACACTTTCACGGGAGGTGCTTCGTAAGCCGAGACATCGGGGTCTGTCTTTTGTTGCCGTTTTAGTTTTGCCTTGGATTTCTTCTTGGGTTCATCTTCGTCGGGGGACACGGGTTGTTTCAAGCATTTATGGGTACGGAGATCGACGTCTTCTTTGCAATTAGCTCATGGACTCCAGTAACAGCGATGAGGATGTTTCTTGTCGGGACGAAATTCTTTGCAGCACATCACGCATCTTATAAATGTGCGACACAACCCTTGGCTATGGTGAAGAGCCATACGGGCATCATCGTAAAAATGGCGGTTACAATGACTGCAGAGTAGGGTAGGGTGATGCGCTTCTGGGCCACACTCGGCGGTTTTGCAGGCTTTACATCGTCGGCCTTCACAGGGCTGATGCCTGAAATCGTCATGGTCAAATCCGCGGTTGCATGTGTCGCAGAAGTAACTTCGTTCTAGAAATCCAGTATATGAGGTACACCCGTGGTAATGTCCCACGCCTGCTCCCTCCGAGTCTGATTCCAAGAGAAGTCGAATGATTTTGGAAGATGCCACGGTTCCCTCAAAGGTAATGTAGTAAGGGTAACGGACACTCATCACTTTTAACTGGTAGTCGGGCGCCAGGTACTCCTGAAATTTCTTCAATTCTTCGCGACCGCAGGGTCCTTCGGGAACGCCAGCCTCTCGGTGTAGATATTTAGCGCAACGGGTGAGAACAGACGGGTTATTTTTAAGATTTCTGTAATAGTTGAAACTTTCCCTACCGTCGTCTTTATGAAGGTGCGCTTTCGGGAACCAAATAGCTCTGGCCAAACAGAGGTCATCTTGGGTATTTTCAATGGGAAGTACGGATTGCATTGTGCGAAGTACAGAGGTCATCTTTAATTTCCCCAAGATGAATTTCGATTTTCCGCCAGCGTCTGCTTTCGCAATGAAGGTCATGTCTACCTGAAACTCATCGTTGGCGTTAAATGATTCGTTCGAATTTAGTTGGTTGGCTAAGGTCTGCAAGTAGGTTTCAAATCGGGGGGTACCATTTAAAATTTCCGCCACGGTGAATTTAGACGATTGTAGCGGATGCGAAAACTTTTTGGTACTGAAATTGAACATGACGCGATCTTCTTATTTCAATTGATTTCCTTTCCAGAGCTGGGTCGTTTGAGACTTTTCTATCACCCGGCGCGCCATGTCAGCTACACCTCGAGTAATTTCGCGTCCGATATCATCTCGTTTGGTAGCGGGACGTAACTGCCTTTTTTTGAGATACACCGCGTTACTTATGGATCGACTTTAGCGCTTTTTTGGGGTGCCCAATCGGTTGAAACTCAAATTCGAATGACGGAGATTGTTCGCGATCTAATTCTTCTCCCATTTCAATCATCTCTTCGTCCAAGACATTATCGGGAGCCTCGATGTCATCGTAAAGTTTCCCAATCATGGCCATGAGTTCGTCAGAAATATGGTCGTCACCAAACTCTTCCTCCAATATTTCCGTTAACCCTTTTAATAACAACAACAACAACACTCTATTTACATACGTTCTTCATGTATTTCTTTTACGAGTCGGTATGGTCCTGGTAATTATAAAATTGAATAGCTAAATTCACTTTAGTGCGATGACAAAGATACTCTTCTAATAACGCGTGAAATATCAATGAAAATTTACATTTTTCCGATTCGTTCAAAGCTATGACGCGTATGTATTTGGGAAAGTCGCTGTGACATTCGTGACACACTTTTTACACGGTACATTCTCTTGTCTAAAAAAGTCACTTATTTTTTGTCGAAAGATAGGTGTGTCTGGACATCCGAGTACTAGCTGACGACACAAGTGGGTTAAATGCTTCATTTCACGCTTCTGCGAATCAATGACATCTTCTAATTCTCCAAGGATGTCTTTAAATTCAACACATTCGATTTTCTAAAGCAACAAAAGAACATGTCATTCTTCTAAAACAACAACACGAAATTTCTACGCACACACTTACGTTATTGTTCTTGGCCATGTCTTTCTGCTGCGACTACACTTCTTGCTTCTTCTGGCTTCTATTTTGACGGTTCTACTTCTGCAGTGATGCTAGAAAAATCTGCTGGCTATATAGGACACATATCGCGTCACCATGTGAGGACGCTAAAGTTTTATCCAATGCCGACCGTATATTTCTAACGGTAAATTTATACTTTATTGTTTACTGGTCACGTTCTTTTTCGCGCGCAAACTTATGATGGACAGGTATTGTCTTTCCCATACCACGCACCAATGAGGGAACGTTATTTGTAACGTGTTTATATTAAAGAATGGAACCCCCATGACTCAGTAAAATATAGTTGACGCTATCATTCTCACGGATCATTTCGAACGTTCCTTCCATTCGAAACACATTTCGTTATTTCCACCTCCTACGGAACCCTGTGAGTATTGCGAGTATACTTTTATTCCTAGGACACACGTATTCATATATTGTTTATATTTATTTTTGTTTTTATTGATACTTTTTCCAGATTCCACCGGGCGATTTTATTCTCGATTTAGCTAGTCGTCATGTATTGTCGAAGGAAACACTATTTCATGCACTCGAGCGCCTTTACTCCACACTTTCAATTTATTTTCAACACGAGTTAAGATCACACTGCGTGGTACAGCTATCGTTTAATTCTACTTTTGAGCAACGTTTCTTTCGGGCTCATTCCATTTTTCCCGAATGTGTTTTTTGTTTATTCACTGAATTGTTATTTGGTTAAACCTCGTTTAGATGGAGATTTTCTATTGAGCACGGATTTTTGAACGCAGACACTTAATTCATTTTCATACTACTTCAAACCCACTCATTTCCTTTCATCTGTTTTGTGTTTTGTAGATATCTCAAGATTCATTATGTACCCTCTTATTACCTTATACTTTTGTTACTTCGTCAACTATTTACATACTACAAGCGATGCACCACTACCTTACGTTATTTCCATTAGATGATTGTAATTTTTATGTAGAATCTTATTTTTCATTACCTTTTATTAATTGTATTTTATCCCAAGCCACCGATAGTCATTCTTATTACACACCTCGAGGATTATGGAATATTTTTTTTTTCATGTTTACATATTACTCGTGTCTTTGCACGCTTTTGTAAGACCGCCACCTAATCCTCGTCACATCCTTTTTACTCTTATTAACACCCTCTACACAATCGAATCACATGCACTTACGCTTATACCAAAGCATTAGATAATACCTATTGTTTTTTCTATCTTTTCTAGAGAACTGGGCCAGGATTAGAATCTTTCCACTTTTATTTAGGTTTTTTTAACAAACTTTTATTTCACGTACGATACATGGACCATTTTTGTTTTTACGTGTATTTTCAAGACGCACAACTGTTAAATAATGTGATTCCGTCTGTGATCTTCGTACAACCATGACATTTTTTACTTACCCGCCCATTCACCCGAACTTAGAATGGTTAGGTAGTCATTGGGACGAAATTCGCTTTTATTCATATTCTTTGTAATGTTTTTTCCTAGGCTCCCACCCTATTTAATTTTACTGCGTGGCAATACAGACAACTCTTTTCTTTTGTAAAGTATTTCTTTCGACGCATTCCTCCTTCTCGTAAACTTTTTCTTGTTTATAATTATTTTGAATTTTTGGTGGAATGCAATTGTATTTACGATATCATGTCGCACGTATGCCATACTTTTGCACCTCATCCAGCACGAGTAGAAATGATAGAGGAGGCGATTCATTTATGTTGCACCTATTGGTCTGGCACTTGTATTTCGTTCTATAGTATTCCTTATGAATAAAACACACAGTTCGTTTTATTACATTATTTCTTTAATGACTCTTTCGCGCCTATTTTTACAACGAAGGTCACACCAACGTTCTGAATATTTCACCGCCGTCCATGCTTCTACATTTCCCATTAATAGCCCTGTTTTCTGCCCCAAATCCTGCCATTCTTCGTAGGTTTTCATGACATCATCAAACGTAAATCCGTGTCTCTTAATTTTCTTTCCTACTCTCACAAATTCGTACCAACGCGTAAATAAGTACAACTGCATGTGCGCTCCTTTGGGAATACCAAATCGTCTAAGTTTTTGGGAGGCTGCATCGAACACGAGTTGACACCACTCGTCAAATTCCCTCCTTTCATCATTATACTAGCGCTCTGGTATGTACGGCTCATCTTCTTTTAAAATCTCGCGTATGAGCACGAGAAATAACCATACATCTCTATAGTCCGAGACGCAGGAAATGAGGCGATGACATATTTCCAAGGAATGGGTGTCTTCAAAGCCTAAGATCGCATGCAGCAATACACATGCGCGCCCCGTTTTCTTGCAGGGATGGATATCAAATTTTTAGATTTCGTGCGGGCATAGATAGGTCTGACATTATACTTCTTGGGGATACGATTCAGAGAGATCTTTACAACACTCAATCGAGACAATTATTACTAGACACGTACGGAGTGCAAACAAGTTTATTAGCAAAAAAGACAACACGTGTTTCGTTCTTAAGCTTCCGCGGATGGAATAAGACATCACAACGTGGGTAGAAAAAATGACTAACCTGTCTACTTAAAACATAGATCTCGCTCCTTTTCTTCTGTCATGCTGACGCGCTTCATTTTTTCCTCGAGGTTATGCTCATGTGATGCATTACAGTTCTTTTCCTCGTGACTGCATGCTTTCTCTTTTGTTTCTTC